TTTTATTATATATTTATATGTTTATTATATTCTGCAAAGTTCCATGTAGGTTATTGGGGAAAAAAACTATATAAAATTGTGATATGAATCCCTTTCTTCCTAAAATCATACTTTGGAAGATATATACAACACGTCTTTCTTATTTTTTTGTGGGGGTTGGGGGGTGGGAGATGATGTTCAACGACTGAAACGATTTCATTATTTATTAAATTCTTCTTCTGAAAATTTAAGAATTTTTAAGAATTAAGAAAGTAACTTTCTTGGGTTTGTGGATTATGCTCATCTTATCTTATAACCACTTTGCTAGAGTTGAGCCACTTTGCAAACGCAAATGTGATTGTGAACGTAATTCTTTAGAAATGTAAGAAAGATTTCAACTCAGGGGATGTAATAATAACGTAATTCACCAAGTAAATTAAAAACGAATTAAATAAACAAGAGAAGACCATTTCTAATCTGAACAGAAAAAGAAGATGGATATCACATTCAGTACTAAATATACAGGTACTAAGTGTTCAATCAAAGCAGTATTGAATACATAAATAATACATAAACATTGGTATATATCAGAATTTGATAAAACATTAAAAGACTCACTTTTTAAATACCCCTTAGAAATTTTAAGTGTGGACCAAATTTAAAACATAATTTGGTTAGGACTTACTGCCTACTCTTACCTATACAAAGATTTTCAAGCATACATTTTAAGCTACACAAATATTTTAAGCAGAGTTTAATCTGTGCTAAAAAGTAGAAAGTAATTATTAAGGACTCTTATTACTGATTATCTGCACCTAGAGGCTGCTTCCAGTATTTACTTATACAGTATGTTCTGTAAAAAGTGTCACTAGGTTGTGATTGTTAATTATTAGATAATTGGTGAGTGGGAACTATACAGTCCCATGGGGCTAATTAAGTGTTATTTTCTATAAATGTGTGTACAAAGCGCAAGTAGGGGCTTGGTTTCTGCAATGAAGACTCCTTTACTGTACTTCTTAAATCCTTAGGAGCTTTACATGTGTTTGGGCTCCTCAAGCCTTCTTATTTACTTACTTAGATTGCCAAATATACATTTAACCCTTAACCCTATACTCATTAACCTATACCCTTAGCCCTAACATATACATTTATTTCAGTGCTCCATAAAGTCCTATGCAGCTTGCAAGTGTAAATGATTTTACACTTAAATTGGGCTTATGGATTGCAGTCTGACATATTGATGAAACTATATTTCTAATTTACTCCAATTGTCAGAAAAGCGCTTTGACAATGAATTGCAAGCAAACAGATTTGTGCAAAGTGAGATCCATCACTTCAGAATGCACACCATTGCATAGGTGCAGAAAGAAAAGCAACTTCATCACTCTGCAGTAGACTGGCAGATTTCTGTCAAGTGTTGGAGAGCAGCCAGGTCAGTATACTCAGACCTTTGGTGATTTATGAAATGAAAACCTCTGGAACTGCTGTATAAATGTACAAATGTTTAAATCTTTAAGATTTTGCTCTGCAGAAAAGTGACTTATCTTAAGTCTTATCTTAGTTGTAATAGTCTCACTATCTGTTTTACCCACAGTGTGGCACTTTAGATGAAAATGAGAAATATCTGGACAATCACTTTAGAGAACCAGCAGAAACCTTTTGTGCCCCTGACTATAGCGATTTTGTGGTGAATTGGGCACACCAAACTCTTTATGAATGAAATTGGATGTGTTGAAGACTTATTGTATTAATACAGTGAATAGGGGGTATTCTGTAAAGGTGAGGAGGAGAAATGAGAAAGGGGTTAGGGCACAATTCAAACTGCCATCAGTTAAACGTATTTTCTGTCATTTGATTCAAGTTCAAGATCTCAGAATTAACTGCTGTTTTCAGAATACCACCAATTAAAAGAACAAGGGAGATCTGTGCTATAACAGTTGCTACTGTAGGTGTCATTATCTGTTGAAAAACCATAAAAAACATTAGTGGTTGATTTCAGTTTATGATTTATATTTATACATATATAATGGAAAATTTAATTTCACAGCTAACAGCTAAAACAAGTAGAAACAGTGTAATGCGAAAGCTACAAGCAAATTAGAACCATTTGAGCAATGAAGCTATTTCAGTCATTAGCATCTTACAAGAGTCACGGTAAAATCTGCATAGAATATCCAGTTTGTTCCACTTTATTTTATAATAATTATTTGGCCTTTACCAGTCTGTAAAATTAAGGATACAAAATACGCTATGGCATTCAAACGCGCCTTTTATTTTTTCTCTTGGCACAGCTGGGTATGACAATGGTAAAAAAGCAGACCAATAGCCAAAATATCTCCCACCTGTTTCCCAATTTGCAAATGCTCACAGTTAATTTTGAGCCTAACATGGGGATTGACGATGGGAACACTAATCTATCAGAGCATGCCTCTCTTCTATGTTTTATTAACAATGAGGGGCACAAAAAACATAACATTTCTGGGATTACTTTGCAGTTGTTGAATCATGCTTTGCTATGACAGAGATTCTTCTATACCATGTGCGTTACGGAAAAGGTTTTTAAAATAGATTTAGCATTGATGGTGCACTAGACATTCATGTGCAAACTAGTGTAAGACCCAAAAGTCACCAGAGTAGCTCCCGCCCCCGTAGTGAGAAATAGAGCTCACTGTGTGATAAAGCAGGCTCTCACTCTTATCTATTGACCTGTGGAAAACTCTATTGCAAAGGTTTGAAGAATTAAGACACTGCTCTTCCAAGTTATCTCCTGGTCTGCTGTGGGAAATTAGGAAAGAGGAAAATAGATGTCTGAGTCATGAAGTCCTTTAGTGAATAATTTTCAAGCCATAATTCACATTTATCAGGATCAACTGATGCACAATTCATTTGTATCTAGGTGGGATAATGACCAATTCATGTCAAAATATGTTGTTATTGGCTATCTTATTATTTCACCATCCCAAATGTGCCAAGAAATGTCACTTTACAGAACCACAAAAAAAACATAGCATGCAATTCCATATAACTCACTAGATACTAAAGAGAATCATTTTGTTTTCCTTACATAACTGTCTTCAGTGTTGTTAAAGAAGGCTTGTTGACTGGCCTTGACTCAAAAACATTTCCCACTCTCTCTGTAGCAGTCCATAGTACTGTACATGCAATTCTTATGTGAAGCACCTGCTCAGCTTTGAAGAGTACTTAAAACTTTAATCAGAGCTAAATTGTGGTTGTTGAAAGGCACTGCTCTGAGTATCAGGATTGTTTGAGTTTGGACAGTATTTCAGGCCAACCATTTCTGTGAGGCCCACTTTGTATGTAGTACTTCTAGGTTTCACGGTTTCATTGTTTTTTCTGTCATTTAAAGGCTTCGTTGTTAACTATAACTAATATGTGTGCTAAATGTGCGTTGTATTTGTGTGTTTATAACATACTGTATAAAATTGTCAATTTATGAATGTTCTTCTTGGTAGAAGCGTCAGTCCATCTACCCACCCCTGTTCAAACTGCTTTATCCAGTAGAGGGTCATGGAGGAGCCAGAACCTATCCCAGCAAGCAACAGGTGCCAGGTGGAATACACATTGGATTGGATGGGCCAGTCCATCTGAGGGCACACACTCACACCAGTCCCAATTTCCCCAGAAGCCTGTTAACCTTCCACTATGTGGACTGTGGGAAGAAATTGGTGCACCCTAAGGAAACCCACACTAGCATGTGGAGAACATACAAACTCCACACAGATTGCACCCTACGTCCGGAATTGAACAACATAATATACATGAGAATTATTACTTTTAATAATTAGGTTAAGAGGCTCGTAACATTTTCCTTCTCGGTAGCCTTAGGCAAACCTCATTTCCTAAAACATTTCCCATGAGCACATGTTCTTACTTCAAGGCAGTGCCCCCTGTGCTTAACCATATTGTACCTCAGAGAGTTAAGGAAATTAAATCTAAAATATCCCATCTGTTTAAGTCACTTGAAGAAGCTTCTAAAGTGTAGGAATGCAATGACCGAAAATTCAAGACAATATTTGTAAAAAAAGGAATGAAAATTGAACATGAACCTTGTTTAGAGTCAAAAAGGAGCAGACTGAGAATATTCCCTCAGGGAGGTAACTGTTATTCAAAATCTGACATGGCAGATCCCAAGGTCCCTTTTACTGTACTTGGACAGGACAGACGTGCTGCTACCAACAGAGAGAGATAAGGGAAAATATAACACCACTTAAGATTAAGTATAGTACTATTGTGGCCTGTTATTTTCCAGTTCAACACAAAATGTAATGACTGCATTTGAAAGAGAGTATTAATGAAATACTAATGAAAAGAGCAAAATAATGCTGGTCACGACCAACAGGTACAGTATGCCTCATTCTAATGAGAAATGTTCAGTTGTTAAAAAGCAACACTCTGGTAGGAATCCGAGCCTTATCCAAGCCTACAGTACGTATTGTATCTTAATACCTGATTGTATTTTTCTTTTAAAAATAAGACGTGTATTGCGAACACAAACCAGACAGCAAAATTCAAGCGGTTTTCCTGCGTTTCCAGTTGAAGTGTATTCCAGTTGATCGGCGGTTACGGCGGACGGATATTGTCGTTTAATACTTAATATATTTAGATATCGAAATTACCTAGGCTTGAATTTGCACAAACCACTGCCACATCAGCAGCAACATAATTTCGATTAAAAACCCCGCTGCGGTAACCACGGTAACTCCCGTCCATCCAAATCTATCGTTTTGCTGTCTATTCAGCACCATTCTGCTCCTGACCTATCTCAGTTTCATCGCAGAAAGACACACACACAGAGAGAGAGAACTGGTGAAGATAAGCGTGATATCTCCACCTATATAAATAGCCTACAGCTGCAAACTTCACGTGTCAGACCCAGCGCTACTGTTCCAGCCATTTGGATTTTTCTACTAGATTATCGAAGTATTTTTGTCTGGCAGGATTTTTGTGCGGAAGACAGGGAGGGATGAGGTTCTGAGTGGTGGAGTGAATGTAGTTTGCTTTCAGTCTCTGAGAGCTCCTCCTTTGTGGTTGTGGAGGATAGTAACATCGCTTTTGCTCAATGAGAGCGAGAGGGCACGAGAGAGGACTGCATTCTTCATTTCATTCTATTGCTGTACTACCGCTCCTACTCCGTAAAGGTAAGTAACGCAGCAGGAAGGGGGGGGGGGACTATTCTGCGAAGAGTATTTGTGAACGCTGTCATTATCTTTGTTTTTGTAAAGGGTTTCTGTAAAGGGGATGTTTGATTTTACCTTTAGAACAATTTAGAACACACCCAAGTAGCGCTCTCTTTCTTATAACATATCGTAGGACAGGCTTCGTGCGTTTTCCTAATTCATGTTGTGTCATGTTCAAAATTGAGCACAGATCTTACTCTAGTACTTAGAACATCACGTTCTTAACCGGTATTTTGTTTGCGCATTGCGAATGCGGGTTCCGCTTTTTGAGAAAAGTTACAGAATAAAAAATAAAATAAAATGCATTCTTTTACAATAAACATAATTAAATTCATAACGAAAATTGTGAATTGATAATGACTGTTATCACTTGCATTTTAATTGTATTTTGATTTGAATGAAATGATTACTGGAAGAATAAAGCCGAACAGTTGAGCAAGTACAAGGAACATTACATGTTTTGCCGTCACTACCAATCATACAATGCTTCAGTATTTACCAAATAGGCTAAGATAACTTTATCTGCATAAAAGAAGAAGAAAGTAGAGCTGACGATCTATTTACGACTTCTTAAATCCCATTAAAGACTAAAGGTAGTACAGCTATTCGGCTTAAATTAATTAAAGTTGTCACTTAAATTATATGCCAGGTACTGTACCAACAATATTAAAAATATTTAAATATAAAGATTTTCATTCAATCCTTTGACCAAAATGCTCTTCAGCATTTCAGGAATACATTTAATACTAATGGTCATCTTTACTGTTAAACGAAAACGCATTCGTTCATAATAATATTTTGCATTATTACTGTCATTATGCCAGCACACACCCGTTTTGCTATTATAGCGCGGATTTTATCACCAATGTTTCGTTTCGTGAGCAATAAATGTAGCATGGCAGTAATAATCTCGAAGTGTTAGAATCCAAGAAGAAATAAATATTTCGTTTCTTGAGCTTATAACAACTAATTTGTTTTACTTCATAAGGTTTACTTGCACTATAAATGTACAGTATAAAACTCCTTGGGAGAAATGCATGGACATTTCTCAGGGCAGGAAGAAACCAGCTAAATATGTTAGTGCCCCACAGTTTTCTAGAGGATGTGCTTTTAATGTCAACTCTATTTAATCTGGTATTTAATAAATTATTAATTATTTTCAACAACACGCAGAAACATAGGTGAAAAGGTACTATCAGGTGGAAATGAATACCGACCTGGTGCAGAGTGACTCAGAAATGTTAATTGCTGTTGGTACTTAAAATTCGTGAGGGATTGAACTGTGTGTTTATTTAAGCAAAGTGTGTTATGCTGCAGCCTAAACTGATCATTTTGAGACTGGTTAAGAAATCTCGTAGTCCTGTCACCATTGTACTGTAGTTATAGTACACGGCGTGCACAAGTATTTAGGCCTACAACAGCATACAGTATGAACACATTGTTATAAATACATGAAATAACATTTAAACTTAAGACTGTACAATCATTCGGTAGCAAATAACACCATCGATAAGTCGGAAAATGTATATTTAGTTTCCAGACTGAAAGACATTTAAACTCTTTTCATTGTGTCCTGGTTTAAAGTTTTATGTTATCTTCATCGAATTACTTTTCTTGTTGTTCAGCAAACGCATTTAAATTACAAATTTATATTATTTAAAATAGGTTTACATTTGTGCTTGTCCTTATTTGTGTTAGAATACCACTAGTTAGCGCTGTATGCACCGATCAATGACAAATGATTCTCAAAGCGATACAGTACGTACATGTAATTATATTATGCAATCGGTAATTATTAGTAGTTAAGAATGTAGAATAAATTGAGAAAAATAATAAAAAATAACGTTCAGTAGATTAATTACATTCAATTTGAATTGATAATTTCTATGTTTTGTCAATTTGATCCCCATGCTATCACACACATTCCTGAAATAATGTGACAAGTTTTATTATACGTTCTGGCAAAAAAAAAACATATTTGTATTAAGGGGAGAATGTGGTGTATAGTTGACAACATATGCAATAAGAATGAAAGAGAAACCTGATTCATGGCCAAGAAGCAATTGTACCTTGTAAAATTTCACACCCTTGAGAATATGAACAACTATTTGTATTTCAGTGGTGTTTAAATATAACACACAACAAATACTATTAATTCATTGTTTGGGATAAAATCCTTAAAATATTTCTACTAATGCCCTGGGTTCATCTGTATAGAGTTTGTATGTTCTCCACCTGTTCATGTGGGTTTCTGCTGGGTGCTCTGGTCTCCTCCCACAGTCCAAAGACATACTGGTACAGTAGGTTAATTGTCTTCTGGAAAAAATCGGCCCTAGTGTGAGAATGTTCGTGTCTGTGTCTGTGTGCGCTGTGTGATATCCTGTCCCAGGTGTATCCTGCCTTGTGCTCACTGCTTGCTTGGACAGGTTCCATCTCCCCTGTGACCTTCAATTGGATGAAATGGTCAGAAAATGGATGAAATTAATAAATAAATATTAAATTACAATGATGTTATAATTGCTTAATATGAAATGTTTTTTTTGTTAATTTACACTGGTCAGCTTTAGACATTTCTGTAGAAAACACTTGCATGCTAGTTATTTAGTTGACTAGAAGGCAGTGTGTGTGATTTCTAAAGGAATGATAGAAACTGATGTGGCGTACTGTACATTGCAAAATAAAGTATAACATTGAAGCACAGCAATAAAGATGGAATCTTTCACGAAGAAAAAGTTTGCTTTTCAGAACACAGTCCTCTGCCCCTAACCTAACCAAGCCTAACCTACAGTAATAGGTATTGAGTTTATTCTGCATTTTTTATGTGCTGCAGAGAGCGTTCTTTTATATCAGACCACTTTTTGTCTTTTATTTTTCTTTCAGAGACTATTATGAGGAAGCCGTTTGTTCTCCAGGCCCTGGTCCAGCAGATGTCCGTGTTTACCCACTTACAAATTAAGTAAACGAAAGAAAACAACATCATGCATCTCCCTCAATAGAGTAACATGTCCAGTCCTCCATCTGACCATTAAACTAACACCTCATACAGCAATGGGTTTAAATCTTCCAGGTTCTGACGTTCTGAAGGAGTTTTTTACGGACATGGGGCCCCTGGACTGTAAAAGGCATCGGCACATCAGGAGAAAACTAAGGCCTGTGCGCATCCTGGGGCTGGTCTTGAGTCTTCTGGCAATAAGCGGGGCGTCGTTTTCCTTCAGTGCCTTGACATGGACCACGCGTCACACCACAGAGCTGTTCTCCACCACGGACAGCCAGCAGTCAGGGGCTAGACCCCACAGAACTCTGTTGGGAACAGAGGACCAGCAAGATCAGAACGTCTCCAGTGGGCTGCCAGTTGCCATGACACAGACGGTGGAGAACAATAAAACCGAACCTGTCCACCAGGGAGACTACCCAGAAGACCTGTTCAGCCTGGAAGAAAGGAAAAGGGGGGCTGTTGTCTTGCACATGTTTGGGATGCTGTATATGTTCATCGCCTTAGCCATTGTATGTGATGAGTTCTTTGTACCCTCACTGACTGTCATCACCGAGAAACTCGCCATCTCCGATGATGTGGCAGGTGCGACGTTCATGGCCGCGGGTGGATCAGCTCCAGAACTCTTCACTTCTATAATAGGAGTTTTCATCTCTCACAGCAATGTAGGCATTGGAACCATAGTAGGCTCAGCAGTGTTTAACATCCTTTTCGTCATTGGGATGTGTGCATTATTCTCCAAAGAGATTTTGAACCTCACCTGGTGGCCACTCTTCAGAGACGTGTCCTTCTACATTATTGACTTGATTATGCTGATTGTGTTCTTCTTGGATAACTACATCCACTATTGGGAAAGTATGTTCCTCCTGGCAGCTTACTCAACCTACGTTGTCTTTATGAAGTACAACTCGAATGTAGAAGGGGTTGTGAAAAATATTATAAACAGGAATAAAGTTATGGAGGTGGCTGACGTCCAAGCAAAGGTAGGTTATCCTTCTCTTTTGCAGTGTACGTTTATTGTCAATTTACTATCCAAATCCAATTTATTGTGCTAGTGGGATTCAATATAGCTGAAAAAAAATAGAGTTGTTCTCCTGCTTCTTTTGTAGTGAGAAGCTGCCCTTCTTAGCACTGACAAAGATAACCTGCAAGCTGGTCCTGTCCAGCGATCCAAAACTTGCCTTCCTCATATTACAGGTTAAAGACTTCTGCCAAAACCAAAACAGATGGTGGTGGAGTTCAGAAAGCAATAAGCAGAATTAAGAGCATTGAGTCACTGGCTGTGGACTAACTAGTATTAATGTAATTCTAACATAGACTACAATCAATGTGAAAATAATTCTTGTGGATCCCATATTACTTAAATAAGTGGTATGGAAAAAATACCTAAAGACCTTGTAGTCCAAAACAAACTACTTAAAAACTTAAATCATAATTCCCAATTGGGCAATACTCAGGATTTAGTTCATAGCTGGATGATGAGTACATCAGGAAGACATATGAGAAAAAAGACACAACTCACAATGTCACAGCAATTCTGTAATTAGATACAGTCTGTGAAGTGGTACTGTAAAGTTACTAAAAAGACTAGGCAATTCCTTTAAGGTAGTGTATCAGATCACTCTTCCCTAGACTAATTTCAGAGCAGCAATATCTTTTAAATTGGATAGATTTTACTCGTGTGTTGTACAATTGTAATATAAAATCCTTAGAATTAATTTCTACTCTTTTAACGTCTTCTGTTTGCCTGTTTATTGGATCCACTCTGTTGCCTAAAAGATGAAAATAACAACATAAACACCTTTCTCAGTGTTATTTTCTTTTTTTCAGTGTTTCCCATCTTATATACTGTACAGCAGTTAGTTTTTGCTACCTGCAGTTTATGTAACACTATTCACTTGTTCGCAATAAATATCATCTGCCAGGTGTGCGCTCCGGCATTTTCTAAGTCTCAGCCATCTTCTAAAAATATTGGGCAACGATAAGTCCTTTTCTTTTACACCCACATAATGTTTCCTTTTTAAATTCCTCCATTTAGTAAGAGTGTGAACTGTCATTGAGGAATCAAATCAAATGTGATCGCAAATCACAAGCGTTCAAAATTAGCTAGACTTTTCTTAATTTTGTTTTACTGGCCTGTACCTTGGCATTTTAATTGCCTAAACATGAGCAATATTATAGTACAAAAATATCAAAGTAAAGAACTAAAAGTACAAAAATGAGCTTACAGGAAGGATGGGGAAGAATAAGAAAGAAAAGAAAGAGTAACAGAGGAAGTCAAACATCCTATATGCTATATGAACACAGTATTAATACAGCACTGTGCTGTATTTTGTGATTGAAACAAGCTGCAGAGAACGTGGATTATGGCATTTATTAAATATTTATGCTTATATTTAAAAAATACATCAATGTAGTGTGTATATTTATTATTGTAGATCATGAGTCTTCATTAGTTCTCTAAGCCAGTAGATGTGAGAGGGTGGAGCCATTGGCTTCCATTTGAATGAAAAGTCTTACTAGATGTACTGTATGATAATATTTCATGAACTGAGTTTATTACATATTTTCAAACCCAACACATTTGACACCTATACAGTGCATTTGGTATAAATTGTGTTAATGAGACTCCCGAGCAGGTTGGATTTATCTGTGAGTAAAGCTACAAATGTTTTCCTCAGTGCTGTTTTTTACAAGCCTGAACATAGTAATAACATCTATCATTCCCTTTGTCAGAAAAGCAAAGAAAATATTCCATTTTCCATTTTAACTTGAATTTATCAGAACAATTTGTCAGTATGCCACTGTGTGCATGGGAATGCAGACATTGCTATAATAAATACATTTAATAAAACACTGGATGTGAAGAAAACCGAATAAGACAGCAATAAAATTGAAAATTCATTATACTGGCAGTCCCATATGAGGGAATGACATGTCAGCAACCTACAAATGAAGTTCTTGCTCCAGAGTGTAACTTAGGTCATGACAGTTTTTGTCTTTTGTCTACTTTCTTATACGTCTGTATAATTTCGATTAAAAGATCAGCTTCAGAAGGTATATTTCAGAGCTTGTTAACAATCCTCAAAACTTTCAAGTGTCCAGACGCAAAACTGTCCACACAGTGATGTCAATACAGGTGACAACACACATTGGTTCTGTATTTCTGAAGTAATGTGACAAAGTGTAAAATATGATCATCTGTAACATTTACAAGCAAATGCTGCCAAGCATAAAATAATCCTAAAATGTAACATTTAACCAAAGGAAGATATAGCTATAGAAAATATGACAAGGTGACAAGAATCAATTGATTTTTGGAATCAAATGTAATTTCCTTCAAAAGGGAAAGTAAATATTTAAAATGCATAAATATTACAATTGAAAAAAAGTATTAAAACATTGGATTTCTCCCAAACTCTAAATGTGTTATACTGACTGATAACATTTTATCATATGTTATCATATACAGTAATTATTTAATAGTAAGAAGACTTGGATTGAAGATGTATTGAAGTGTAAGAAGACTTGGATTGCTTGGAAGTGTAGTTAAAATTATACAGGGTTATAGTGATAGGCTATTTATATTGTAGTATCTCTGTGGGGAATTTACGAGTTTTTTTCTTGTTAGAAAAAAACACAATTAGGTTTTAAGTCTCATATATGTGTTTCGATGTATTAACTTAAGAATCTTAATAAATAAGAAGATAATTTTTCTCTTATTTTTCAATATAAGGAGGAGTCAATCTGTCCTAAAAGCAATCCAGAATATACTTTAAGAATACAGGCTTTATTATTAAAGTCACTAAATCAGTACAAATGTGTAGTCATATTTATTTCACTATATTTTACTGTATACAGTATATATACTGTATATAAAAATAATTATTAAAAACCAAGTGCAGTACATTATGGTGGTAGGTTATTTGTACTGTTTTGTACTGTTATTGCAATATATTTGAGTCATCAACTTTTGTTATTCTGAAGATCAAATATAAAGGATTTGTACTTGCACCAGAGTGGTCTGTGCAATGGCATCACATGGACTCAATATTACCGTCATGGTTACATTACTATTATCACTATTGCCATCACTCTATAAATACAAGTTCTTCTGTACTTTGTTTGTAGCCTTTGCTAGCTTTTCTGGGATTCTTTGCACCGATAAAACAAGTGCACTGTAAGTGAAAACAGAGGATATCATTTGTTTTTTGTTTTACATAACATAGATCCTTCTGTGCACAGTCATACAACTTACATTATACTGTGCTTCTCTGCACTCAGTGTTCTTCCCAATTCATGCAGAAACACAGTTCTTTGGTGACCTTCCCTTGTAATTTTACCCATTTTATTTTAAGCAGATGGATCTCCATTTTTCAGATCAAAAAGCGGTCTTTTAGTTTTATGGATGTGTAGAGAGAAAACGTCAATTAGATTTGATTGGTGTTATGGATTGGTTACTGCTGTATTGGATCCCAGTCCTATCCTGGGGGACCACTGTCTGGTGCTTTTGTTTTGTTCCAGCTGAGCTCTGAAATCTCCATTGACAACCAATTGACAGCTTTAATTGATCTGCCTTCTTGTTTACTCTTTTGGTAAACTTTTTCCTGCACTTAGTCCTGTGTTGTAAAAATACCCTACATCAAGGGTGCTGTTTGCAACAACTTCAGAACTTCCCCTCAACTTGTTTACCCTTATTTCTGACGAAATATTTTGTAATTGGTGATTATTTAAGATGTCACGCCCATAGTCAGCTTTTTGTCCTTCTTAGGAGATCCAATTTATTACACTTCAGGCAGCACAGCTGAAAAGGGGAAACTCAGAATTAACAAAATGCTAATTGATACCATACCAGCTATTAAGAACTTAGCTAGAGCAAGCTTCAAATAATACAATGTTCATCCAGGACCAGGGAAAGAAGCACTACACTACCAAAGTTCATATTGGCTCATGAGGTGTAGCTCTACTTTAAGTTGTTGAAATCACATTTTTTGGAGTTTCTGATCAATGTGTGCTAAATATTACTAAATGTTTATTCTTACCAAAAAGTCATAATGTATTCAGTAAGTACAAAGTCAATTATGTTAATACGGTAGAAAACATAGACTTTAAGTAAATCGGTGATGCTCATAACATACAGTAGATATATTTTTTCTCCTAATTGTGTCTAACATGTTTAGGGCTTTTGAATAGAATTGTGTTCACTATAGAACAAAAAAAGAAATAGGAAAAATATAGAAAATGCTGACATTGATGGTCATGAAAGAACATAGCAAGTAAATTTATGAACTGGCCTTTGCAAATTATGATTCTCTCTGCTCTGGTAAAAGACTTCCTTAACTCCAAGGTTCTGTGAAAGATATCATCTGAAATTAGATTTTGAATCCCAGCTGGTCTATATGCTGTAACAACCAACTGTTGCTGAGAAATGCCAAAGGCCGGGTAGATGGGACCTAAGGGTTTCTCGAGTCTTCAGTTGCTATTTTACATGCAAGCCTAGCCATGCAAGATGCTGATGTGTTATTCTCCAAGTCAAACTGCTCTACTCCTCTGGAGGATTAATGAAAAGACAAATACCAGCACCATTCTGGGTGAAGAAAACAGCACCACCAATTGCATTCTACATGCATAAATAAACCCTGGGAAATATACAGTATGGATACCAAGACTTTTTAAATACCAAAGATTTTGCTTTAAAGTTTGCTACAATAATATGCCAAAACATTGCTACAATAACCTTTCCTTAAAAAATGGCATCTGGCAGTAGGCTTTCCAGGCAGCCATTAAGTGATCTGCCTCTAATCAGAGCTACAGTACCAGCAGTTTATTGTTGACCGTGTTGCCAAACTACGTATAGTATTATATGACTTTTAGAGTGAATTTCTTGGTGACAGTCATGCTTTAATTTTCTTCACAGAGTGACAATATGTAATCCAAAAATACTGTTTGTGTAATGTACAACAGCTAATGCACTGTAGTACAT